TGGCATGCAACGAGTTCACAGGCACATTCATGGTCCGAAGGAACTTCCAAACATCATCGCCCTTCACGTTTGCCACCGGGTTAAACTTCACCAAGCTTCCAACCCCACCGTCCATTCCCTCGAAAACAGGGTCCACCTGGACAACCGGGACTTCCGACCGAGTGCCAGGGGACTGATCCTTCCGCTGCCCAGTTATCCATGCACGCAACCCCTTGAGGGCCCTTCTCAGCGGCCTAACCTTCCTTACTCTGCAGCACTCCTGGTGGCCATCTTCATAAAACGAGAAAAGTCCCTTGCTCCTTACCAAAGCCTGAACTTCAACAGCATCGGGAAACATGTATTCGATGCGAATACCATAATGTTTCTCTACTTCATCAAAGAATTTATACGTCTCCGGGTTCAACCTCCCAGTGTCCAAGCTGAAAACTCTAAATGGCCGTCCAGTTAAACTTGCATATTCAATCAAGGCAACATCCTCCGCACCGCTGTAATAATTGAAAATAAAAACATGTCATCATAATATTTTCAGCAACTTCAGGTCCAATTAAAATGCTAGCATTTAGATTGTGCAAAACTTCTACAGAGAAAATCTCAGACTGTCTGTACCTAATTGATATACTGGGAAAACATTTTCGAAAATAAGCGTAATACAACGAGAGAATGATTATGTTTGATACTTCATATTAAGGTAAATAAATTAAATTAACACATATTTACAACCATAAATAACCTTATTATGCGAAATAATTTCTTGTACTTGTTTCCTTTCGGATCGAAGTGTTCCATACAAATCCATTGTACTCGATACAATGCTACGTCTTCCTCAATAAAATAAACGGATTGATATTGAATTCTACACTCTTATAGTTCTATACAATCCACAGAAGAATCTCAAAGTTTACATTTATTTCACAGAAAAGTTAAATTCGAAATCGTGTTTGGCAAAAAAAGTAACTTAAATGTAATTAATTAGAAGCACGACAACATGGTTTAAACTACACGGATTGTCTTAATTTTTGACTAATCACATAAACAGCTTATCCAATTCACTATTACAACATTTGACAACTTAAGAACACTTATCGACCAAAAATCAGTAATAATCATGAAATTTACCTAAAAGCAATTGCAATATCATTCCCAAATTTCTCAAGGGCCTTGTCCATAATCTCGAGAGGGGAAGCATTTTCAAGCTCCTTAGCCAATTTTTCATAGTCCTCTACCTCTACTTTTTCAACCACCTCTGCAGATTCGAAGAAAACACAGGGGCAAATATGTCACTTCACATTACCAAATTAAGATTTCTACTTTACAAAAACTCATCCATTTGCATAAATTAGCTAATGAAAATCCTATGTACCTGGAGCTACGATAGTTGCTGCTGAGGGAACAATTGAATCATTTCTCTTCAGCTCGGCATTCAATGGGAATTGCCGCGTTGCGGAGCTTTTATTCACAGCAGCTGATGGGAGATTAAGCCTATCTAATGGCTGAGATGTACCAAATTGTGCAGCTAGAAAAAAGAATCATATTTAGAAACAAGATGAACCTCAAAACTCAAAAAAAATTAAAACCCATTAAGACAAAAATGGTACCTTTTGGCTGTTCAAAGGAAGAATATAAAGAAGAGCCACGAACTGCCGTTGAAGAAGTGAAAGACAAAGCCATTAGTATAAACAATTTTCTGTGTCTATCTGCAAAATCTGAAACCTTAAAGAAGAAAAAACGACAGATTGGTTTATGGGTTTTGGAGAACTCTTGTGTGTGAAATCTTAAATCTGTTAGCAGTGTTTAAGGATGAAAGAGCAAAAAACATGTATAAATAGGGGGGAGGACTTTCCAGGTTCATTGAACCTGGACGTGTTTTAGATGGTCTGGCAGCGGTCAATGTTGTAATCAGCGCTTTCGTCATGTGGCGAGCAGACGAAAGAAGAGTCGTGGTGGAGAGGAAGCGCGACTTCTGACCAATCAAATTTTAAATTAGATGGGATCATTTGATCCTTCTTCTGCATCTTTTCCTCTGTTCTCAATTTTTTATTATATAATATTTTTTTGTTAATATATAAACTTTCTTTTACATTTCAAATAATTTTCATTTAAGCCTCAAGTACATGCTTTTTTTAACAGGATTTGTACAGGGTACTGTCGTGGTAGCACCCTATTGGCCTTTTTTTTCCCTTCCAATGCAAACCCGCAAGTGTTTTTCCTGTAACATTTCTGTCCATAAATCATTTACTCATAGCTTTGTTCAATAATTTTAGCAATTCATTACATTGTTACTCTTGTTTAGAAAGGCAATAAAATAAAAGTTGTGATGCAGCAAGTGTACGAAAATAATAAATAAAAGCGTCAAAATCCAAACCAATAATAAACATGAGTCTTTATTTTTAATGGAATTATGAATGAAGCATGAGCCACAAGAAATCTTTAATATCCTTACTCTTAACGGCGCAACGCCTCGAAAATCTCACAGCAGCTGATGGGAGATTAAGCCTATCTAATGGCTGAGATGAACCAAATTGTGCAGCTAGAAAAAAGAATCATATTTAGAAACAAGATGAACCTCCAAACTCAAAAAAAAATTAAAACCCATTACGACAAAAATGGTACCTTTTGGCTGTTCAAAGGAAGAATATAAAGAAGAGCCACGAACTGCCGATGAAGAAGTGAAAGACAAAGCCATTAGTATAAACAATTTTCTGTGTTTATCCGCAAAATCTGAAACCTTAAAGAAGAAAAACCGACAGATTGGTTTATGGGTTTTGGAGAACTCTTGTATGTGAAATCTTAAATCTGTTAGCAGTGTTTAAGGATGAAAGAACAAAAAACATATATAAATAGGGGGAGGACTTTCCTAGATTCATTGAACCTGGACGTGTTTTAGATGGTCTGGCAGCGGTCAATGTTGTAATCAGCGCTTTCGTCATGTGGCGAGCAGACGAAAGAAGAGTCGTGGTGGAGAGGAAGCGCGGCTTCTGACCAATCAAATTTTAAATTAGATGGGATTTCGATCCTTCTTCTGCATCTTTTCCTCTTTTCTCAATTTTTTATGGAAAGTGCCACAATTACATTAGCCAACACACTCTCCAATGGTAGGGTGTCATGTGTTCATTATGGACACCAGCACCCCTAATGTACAAAAAGAATTATCCATTTTTTATTATATAATATTTTTTTGTTAACATATAAACTTTCCTGTACATTTCAAATAATTTTCATTTAAGCCTAAGTACATGCTTTTTTTTAACAGGATTTATACAGGGTACTGTTGTGGCAGCACTCTATTGACCTTTTTTTTTCCCTTCCAATGCAAACCCATCAAGTGTTTTTTCCTGTAACATTTCCGTCCATAATATTAAGATTTGGGGGTCCATCTTAAAAGGTCAACCTTGTTAAGAGGAGTAGCCTAGGATCTTTATTAATTGGTCTGTGTCTCTGATACCATATTAAGATTTGGGGGTCCATCTTAAAAGGTCAACCTTATTAAGAGGAGTAGCCCAAGATCTTTATTAATTGGCTTGTGTCAACATCTTTATTCGATGTGGGATTTATATTCTTAACACATAAATCATCTACTCATAGCTTTGTTCAATAATTTTAGCAATTCGTTACATTGTTAAACTCTTGTTTAGAAAAGCAATTAAATAAAAGTTGTGATGCAGCAAGTGTACGAAAATAATAAATAAAAGCGTCAAAATCCAAACCAATAATAAACACGAGTCTTTATTTTTAATGGAATTATGAATGAAGCACGAGCCACAAGAAATCTTTAATATCCTTACATTTTTTCAATAAAATTATGAAATGTGGTATACATAAATTTTGACCCCACTCTTTGTGATTGCTAAACTAAATTTGACCATCTAATGTCCTAATTATTCTGGAACACAAATTTGAAGGGGAAAAAAAATGTAAATGAATAATAGAATGTCTCAGCGCCACAAGAACGTGGAAGCAAAATGCCCATGTGATGTGGCACATGAAAGCCTCGATCGAAGACTAAAGATTATTTTTATTGTGACCCATCGGGATCCAACTTCCCTCATCAACCTAAACAAACTCGACAAAAAAGATGGCGAGAATTAGGGCTTGCCAAGCTCGATTTGTACCCAATTCTTTTTAATTTTTTATGTTTTTAATGAAAATTCTTGGTCAACTTGAGGCTTGAGCCCCTATTTGATAATCATTATTTCGGAAAAATAATATTTTGAATAGTGAATTTTTTAAGAATGTGTGGTTGAAAAGTAAGGAAAAATTTTGATTTTACGTATATAATATTTTATTGTGTGAATGTAATTAAAAATGAGTATATAGAAAAAAACATTTTGAATTACAAGTCATCAAACAGAGACTGAATACGTCGTGAGCTTGTAGAGACCTTCCTACCTGGCCCGATTGACTTTTTCGTTGGAAGAAAAATCAATGAAAAACATTGCTTGTAGTTTCATCTAATTTTATCCAATTCAACGTATAAAATATTATCGTCAACAGATCAAATTACTGTATTTAAGTTTGTGCATTATTTTCCATGAAAAGAATATCCCTTTCAGAAGAAGTAATGGACATAAAGGTGTCCTTTTCAACAAAAGAATCTCCATTAGCCATCAACTTGCTCATCTTTACAACTTTTTAATTGCATGAATCAATTATACAAATTGAATATTAAATTCCTAAACAGTAATTTAGCGTAAAATCATTGATCTACAGTGGAAAAATATAGTGGGTGGGCGATTCAAACTTTCAATATGCCAAAATAGAATTGAACATAAAGGGCTAAAAAGAAAACCAAGTTGAGGACTCTTGGATGGCCAAACAGCCAAAGTATAGAAAAGAATACTGAGATATTCAAATTAGCCGTCGAAGATGAAATATTATCATTTCTGTACCAAATGTAAATTGCTAATGAATTCGATATCATCCCACGAGTAATTATGTCCTGACCGATAAAAAGCAAATGAAGGCTAAGAATTTACACGACGTGTGATTTAAGAAATGGTCTGTTAGTGAAATTCTGATGATCCAAATGTATTCTCGCCACTGTAAGTCACGTAAAGAAACCCGTCTTCATCCTTGTGTTCCTCATAAATTTTCGAAATCAATGAATCTGTGAGCACAAAGATATATCAATATCATGAAATTGTTAAAAGTAAAATGTGAAAGTTCAAAATACGAAATTCTAGTCACCGGAGGGAGGCAGGATGTTCTCGACAAAGACAAATATAGCCTTCTCTGCACTGAGCTTGATACGCTTCCGGACCACATAAACAAATTGGCCAACGTTCAAATCAGCAGGGACGAGAAATCTGCACAAAGAAGAGTGATGCATGCATTTACACCAAGAAAAGCAAATCGCAATTATTCGACGCTCAAATTTGTTAGTCACAAATAACAAGGTAAAAACTTTATTGGGACTCAACACTACGATAGACTAATTTTTGGCTTGTGTTTATAAACATTCAAGTCACTTTTTACCCACACATTTTAGAAGCCCACAAGCAGTATCCACTTGTCCACCACTCATTTCTATCTATTTATAATTTAAACAGTTTATAAGCACTTACTTATTTTTATCAATATCAGGAACATCACTCCTATCTGCCTTCTCAACAATAACCTGAATGAGTATAATGTACAAGCATAAGTACTGCGAGCAATATAGAAATTTTAGCCTCAAATGGAGAATGCTAAATTCTTTGGAAAAAAGCAAGAAGCTCTTACTGGTATTCTATCGGGATACTTCTCTCTGATGCGAGTGGATTCTGCCTGCCTCTTCTCTGTCATTATGAAAAACAGAATGTCATAATACAAGCACCAGGAGAAAGTCGGGAACAAACAAAGCTTTACAATTGAAATATTTTAAAAGAAACTGCTAAAAGTGTGAAAACAGTAGAACAATATTCAAAACCCAATGACCAAGGAGGCTTTGGTCTAGTGGCAGAAACAACCAAGGTCGAGGCTATGGAACTGCAAAGTTCCAAGTTCATGTTGGTTTATCGTTCATAGCATTGATCAAATTATATTGGTTTGTTCAAATAGATCAAAATGTGAAACGTGTAACAAAGATAGCATGTTCAGTCTCACTCCAAGAGCTAACTTGTTAAGTAGGCCAATTCAACAGATCATTCATTATTCACAACTACGAGGAGAAGATTAATTTTTAAGTTAGTATTAGGTGAAACTCCACAAGACACACCATATATTTTAACCCAGAAAAGCAAACAAATATGACATCCATGATATGTAGTACTGAATGCCTTCGTGCTAGATCAAATCCGAGCAGGGATTGATGGATTGGCACCAACACAAATGCAATGCATGACTGCTTCCATAGTATCTAAACCAATGGAACCTAATCCTGAAGCTAATTTGATCTTTGAACATCAAGGAAATTCGTATAACAGTAGCTGGTAAACTTTCAAAGATATTCCCAAATGACTGTAATTTTGGTAAAGCTGACTTTTGAGCTCAATTATCACACTTCAAAATAGAATTCTTGGCCACAAAACTCAGAATTTATCAGAAAAATAGCTCTCCGAGCATCTCCAATGGGAATGAGGCTATGGATTGCACCAAAATGCTTACATGGCAAGGAAAAAGGTGGAGGATGTGATGTCCAGCACGCCATCCACCTGTGGAAGGTGTGCTTAATTTTTTGTAATTTAACTTCATCGGATGACGTCTCCATTTATTTTTTTATAATTTTTTCTCCACTTTTTCTCTACACCCTATCCTCTCATACATGTGATTCACAATTAGTGCAATCCACATCCCCATTGGAGATGCTCTTCTCTCCATTCCCAATTTGCTTGCCACGTGTACAACAGCTCACATTGTTGCATCTAATGTCTTATTCACATTCTTGTATTCTACAGCACAGAAGTTGAAGCTAGAGAAGACAAAAAAGAACAATATGCACAATCTTTTTATTTTCAAAAACAAAAGAAGGAAGCAAACACAATATTCGTGTAACTGGATGGGGTTAAAATTTATTGCAATTTTGCAATTATTCCACACATACAGGTAAGATATTACATCTCAAAAGAACGTGCTTTTATAGCACGGCACTTACTTCACTCCACCCTCATAACAGATAGTTACGAACAACTTGAATATTAGGTTTTTTTAGCGAACTACTAATCACCCAAACTTCAAAACTCAGTAATAACCATGAACCATCACTGGGATAGATTTGAAGTGCATCAAGATATAATTGTCCTTTCAGCTAAGTAGGACTCATGACTCCCTTCGAAACTCAATAGAACAGTACCACCCCCATGAGATTAATTCGAATTTGTCAAATTCAAAAAGATCCATCTTTTTTCAATCAAATATCCCAAATTCTATAACCATTTGCCATTCAATTCATAATCACACGGCCAAGGACAATGCACACCATTATTATATAACAATTCAACAGCGAAATATGAGCAATACGAAAAAGCCCGTGCACCAAAAATCCTAGAACAAGTAGTAATTTCAACACAGCCATCAACCACACAAATATTACTCCTATTCCCTATCATGTATCAAATAAAAAATAAATGGGCTTGCATAAAATCAAAATAGAAACAGGAAAACTCAGAAAAATAAATTTTTTCCCCAATTTTTCATAAAAATTATGGAACTCCGACCTCTTCCCCAACAAGCAAACTAACTTAATGCATATGAGCATATAAAAGTCTATCGAAATTGCATGTATCAATAGATAAAGGAACATACCCAAGGGATGTTGAATCTTGAATGAACTCTTGGCCATGGTAATACTCAGATTTCGCTCTCTCCCTGCAAATTTTAAACACCGGAACAACATGACGAATCAACACACACGAACACGTGTATAGAAAATTCACGCACATATCATATACATTGCGTAAAGAAGAAAACCAAAACAAAGATTCACGCAATTGGGTTTCTTTCAAACTTACGAAAAAAGAATGGAATTGAAAATTTGATGTTGTTGTGATTGGATTATTATGAACTAGACGTTAAAAGGGGCTATCAATTTCAAGTATTAGAACGAATGGATCATTGACAGAGGACCAATAAAATGGAAGAATTCGGTATATGAATAGAGAGATGGAAAATGAAAAGGAACGTATTTGGAGTTTTGATTCTTCCACGTAATCGGACTAATCAAGATTTGACACAAGGAACCTTTTCTAATAATTTTGTCAGAAGAAACTTCATAACTGGTCCCCAATCTATTGAATTAATAGTAAGTTAGTATTAACCTTTAAAAAGAATTCAATTGATCATGAAACTTTGATTTTAGTTACATTATCACTCTCCATCTTCAATGATCGAACAACCCGTGTTTTCTTTAAATTGTCACAAAACATGTATTATCATAAGTTTTTAGGTTTCGAATGAGATTGTGAAATAAAATCTAGCTTCATAAAATTAGACATACGAGGATTACGAGGCTATTTTAAATAGGTTTTGACCGTTTTTATAAATGAAGGACATATTTGTTATATTTTAAAGATTAGAGATCAACTTGTTAATAGATGTGTGGGTTGGCCACAAGCCGACGATGTCATATTCAGTATGACGAACATGACCCAATTTGAAATTTCGGAGGATTAGTTTAGCGTAAATTTAAGTCCCCTAAACTCTTAAACTAATATTTAATTTTTATTAATATACAGCGGGTTTTGAAACCCTAAAGGAGAAATCTCCAATTATCTTCAATAAACCATGGAAGAAAGTGCTCGTTGAATCCAATTCGTTTCACATTTCACAATTCGAAGTTGTCTATTATATTGCCATGTCATAGCGACGGCGTTTTGGCAAAAATGTGGTTGTATCCAGTCTCCATTAGACGAGGCCATTTTCACCCAATAAAGAATAAAGGTGTAGATCTAATTTTGAGCAACTGTAATTTATAGTTTGTTTGATGATAGATTCAAATTCACAAGTCATATTGCATGTTATAGGTCACAGATAACATGTCATATTGTATATGTAACAGATCAATGCCCACAAGTTACAGATCATTAAATCAATATCACATTAAATAGTTTACAAGACAGTAGGACACAAGTCACATGTCATAGTGCATATGTCACAAATTAAAAAGGGTTGATCACATGCCATTGATTTCTCCAACCTCAGTTGTTATCGTTGCCTTCAAAAATTATGATGTACAGTGCTGCAACTTCCAATAACCATATTTCAACTGTGAGAATCAGAACTATTTGCTTCAGCAAGATCTCTGTAGATTCTCTCTTTGTTCGATCTTCTGATACACAGTGCCGAAAACTTCTAATTTGGGACCTCGATTGTTCGACTGGTTTCAATTAACCAGATTTCGACGATGAGAATCGAAGTTATTTATACCGACGAGTTCTCTATAGATTCTATCTTTATTGATTCTTCTGATACCTTCCAATTTGTGACCTTAATAGTCTAATGATTTTCAAACAATCAAATTTCGGAGTTGGTAATTGAGAATATTTGATCTGAAGAGGTCTCTTGAATCTTCTAATTTGCTCGATCTTTATGATTTGTTGTTTGGGAGAGCTCGTTTAGAATGGTAACTGTAAAAGCGTTATTTTAGAATGTAAATTTATTATAATTTATTTTGCATATAATATTTGTTAATTACTATCAGACTTTTGAATTTTTAAATTTTGTGCCTTAAAAATGAAATGGGGTACAGTAAAAGAATAAAGCCACTTGAACGTGCTAAAAAACAAATAAAGTACAAACTGACTGACTTGGCAGTGTATGTACGGATTTTTTTTTTCAAATTGTCCAATCATGTATGGATACACGTTCCTTCTGTTTTTGAATCTGTCCTTGAACCTATTTGTTAAAAACCCGACTTATGTATTATTCCCTAAAAGAATACTTCCTAAAATCCATACAATACTTGGCAGATGGCTATAGATTTCCTTAAGGTGTCAGTAGACATGATTTCATCTTTTGAAATGTCTTGTCACTACATTATAAGGGTGTTTGGTGAGGATTAAAATTAGATTTTTAGTAGATTGTGATAGAAGTTTTTGAAATGTGTGGCTGAAAAGTTGTAGGACTCATGAAAGATGTGGTTAATATTGATTGTTTGACTTTGATTTGAATTAAAATTAAATTTTAATTCGGACCAAACAGAGGCTATATCTTCTATATATTAAAAGTGGCTATGTAACGGAATTTCTTGTTTTTAACGGAAAAACTAACGGAATTTGTTGTTTTATCGGATTATGTAACAGAATTTCTTGTTTTAAACAGGCAGTTGCACCTTCCTTCAGTGTTTTTATCATAACTTTGTATTCCGA